AGCCCTCCGCCGGCCCCTCGGTGCGCCCGGGGGCTCCAGCCTGCGCCCCGCCGCCTGCCCGCTCCCGCTGGCCCGAAATAAGCGGTTCCCTGTTAAAGTCGGTAGAGATGCGGGAAACGAAAGAGCAAAAAATACCTCTTCGGGGTTAAATCGAAGGTCTGTACAAGCACACGGCAGTGGCGGCAATTCCCTGCGGCAGCCCGCAGGCTAACCCGAGGGTACCGCGCGTCCTAACGCAGAAGTGCAGTTAAATACACGAAACCCTTCTGCCTGTCGGGGGTTTTTGGCACTAGCCGAAATGGAAACATGGTTCGTTGGGAAAGAAGCCAAAAATCACAGACGTTTAAGTTAAAACACACTAAATTTCCCAGTACTTCTGCTTACTGACGATGTCTTTGAGTAAACGCTTGCTCTTGGTATGATTAAGAGAGGAGCTTTTGCAGTAGCAACAATACAATTTAACCACAGATCCCTTTTCACACGGTTGTCTTTGTTTCGAAAGCCCCTCCTGGTGCGCAGCAAAGCGGAGCTGCGATGCCCCTCCGGGGCCTGGGCAGGCATTTGGCCCCTGTGGAGGGGAGTTATTACGATCTGCCCGTTTGTAGTGCTCTGACAGAGGGGCACCGATGGGGGTACGGGTGCTGCGGGTGCTGCGCACGCTCAGAAGAACAAATCCCAAGCGCTGCCCCTAAGAGCTCCTACGAGACAAAAGCCGACAAAAAAAAATAGGGAAATAACGACATCGCACGGGTCGGCGTGGTGGGCTGCAGTCGCAGCAAACGACACCTACGCCAGCAGAGTCGGGCCGTGTTAGCGAGACTAACGGTGCTGTGTGATAGAAATGGCAGTGGTAGGGCTGCTAACACTCTGGGTTTGCTTTTATTCCAATTTGACATTTGATATTATTCCGATTATGAAAAAGTGAGCAAGTTAGAAGTTTAAATAACATGTATCTTAATTTGTTATTCAATTAGTTTGGTGACTAAGAAATGCATTGCACTGGCAGTGGCCTATAAAACTGAATTCTCCTTACCTTAAGCAGCTGTATCTTGCTGTTTAAGAAGTTAGTGAGCTGAGTGGTTTCCTTCAGTCGCAGGAACTTCCACGGACTGATGTGGAAGCAGATGCTGCACATTTTATTCCTTTGTTGTCCTGCATACGTCTGACAGAGGTTTTATTTGAAGCTGGAATACGCTTGTTTTTGTTTGGATTGTCTGTTCCATATCCATGTAAAGAATTCAGTAGTGGTGCTGTGAAATCGCTGAGATATTGGAATGATCAGCAATATCTAAGGCATAGTGCAAGTGTGGAAGAGCCAAAGATCAAACTATGTCTACCACGCAATGAGCGCAGCCAGAAATTTTTCACACTAGAAGGGACTGAGACAGATTTCTCTGTCCTGTGTGCTCGAGTCAGCGAAGGCTCCAAGGGGGAGGCTGAGGTTTGCCACCTATTGGCTTTTCCGGGTATGTCTCCATGGCAGAAAATGGCTGAAACGGTTAGTCCTAACATAGAAAATTACTCATCGCATTTTAGCTTGGGGTGTGAGCCTGAGCGTGGCCCTTCATATCTTCTACTGCGTATCAAGAACAAATATAAATTCCCGTTGTCTTGTTTTATCTGTTTCTGTTTAGATTGACCTGCTCAGTCTAATTTTTTTTTAAATTATTCCCAAACGGGGAAACGAAGGCAGAGATTGCATTGAAGTCATACATGGAATAAATGGCAGACCTAGAAAGAAAGTACTGCTCTGCTTGCGTCCTGTGCTGTGCATGAAAATTCACAGGGGATATCTGTGGAATATCTGAAGCAGATATCCCCAGTGAGAAACAACTGCAGAGCCTCAACGCTATCTGGCTGGAGTCAGGATTTTTTTCATGGAACTGACTCATCATCAGCAAACACTGGAAATAAATCCTCAGGAAAAGGTCCCTCCAGGAAAAAACAGGGTATAGAAAAGCAACCTATTTTTAATACATGACATAATACCTATTGTGGAAGCCGCACAGCACAATTTACTGATGCACAGTGAAACCAAATCTCCATCAATGGTGCCGTGTGGGTACAACAGCAGTAAAAAGCGAGCTGTCACATGGTGGAGAGCACAGGGGCGCGGAAAGTGCTGACTGTCATGAGCATTCATAGTTAAACAATGTTCCTGTACATCTGTTTGTGCGTCGTGGGTTTCCCAGCTTGTACGCTCAGAATTAAGCATTTCTCCCAGCGCTGTCTCGAGGTAGGCTGTGAGCCTGGAGAGACTGAGCGGTGCAGAGCATTCATTTTATTCGCCAGCCTGTGGCGAATTGCAAGGGCGTGCTTGACCTCGGAGGGAGGCAGGATGTGCTGAGTATGAACTGCTTGTTGTCAAGGCTACAGGACAAGAGGGAAGCTGCAGCCTTCCCAGTCTGCCCATGGCCCTTCAGCTGAGCCTGGGAGCGCTTGCTGCTGCCCCAGCCAGCAGGGGCTTCCCAGCAGTTCTGCCCGTGGGAGCTTGGTTCCCTTCGGCTGAGCCAACAGCAGTGGCGGTGAAGAGGGTCTCACCCAGGGTCACTCTCAAGATCTGAATTTCCCTTCTTCGCCTTCCCGTGCTTGTTCCTGCTGGGTTGCTGTAGACAGCCTTCGGTAGCGCCTCCCACATGTCTTCTAAGGCAGTGAGCGGATGATGGTTCCACAAGGCATAAACTTCCACCACCACTATACAAGACTCTATGAATTGCTTTTTGTCAATACTGAGGTTAAAAGTTGCAAAATAAGGGTTATTTCTTCCCCATGTTCTCCACAGCAGTATGTACTTTATTAAGTTCTGAAACAATTAGTTTTGTTGGTTTTTTTTTTACCAATAAAGCCTTATGTAACACAACGTATTTGGGCATTGCTTACAGGTACAGTTTTGCATGGCATATGCAGAAGCATGTCCCTCATTTAGCAGTCTAGTGGCTCGATTTGTTGATGGATGGAGGATTGCGGAGCTGGGATAGCTGCTTTTAGGTGGGAGTGGCCAGCTGCTTCACTTCAGGGGTGAATTATATTTATTCTTTCTGTCAAGTCTGTGTAGAGACGCGGTGTACACTGTACATATCGTGTGCACGCCTGTTGTGTATATTCACACACATGGGAGTGTGCATTTTTATGGTCCAGAAGTTATGTGCCGTAACTACTCAATCCAAATTGTCGCCTTTCTTTACAGTATTGAAAATCAGACACTCGTAGTCCTGGAAATAAAAGCTAAGTATTGGCAAAAGATCTGAATTTTCCAGCTGCCCTTTAACGTGTGCAGTTGTTTAAACCAGCCTTCCTTTAACGTATACAGCTGTGCCCAGATGGGATTGCTTTCTTTCCAGCAGCTTCCCGAGCCATTTACTCAAGGTTTTTTGTTTTTTCCTCTCGTTACTTGTGGTGCCTTTAGACTTATGGTGAAGAAGAGGCGGTTGTAGTTTCAGAGCTTTGCATTCCTCGCTGAGCTGTGCCTGTGTTTGCATGCAAAGCCATCGCCTCTCCTCCAACTATTTTAATCATTTCAGAAAGGGTGGGTCATCAGGCATTTGGCAGCGGGCTCCTTTTATATAGCTGAGGTGGAGTCAGCCAATGACCTGCAAGCCTGGAAAATTTTGCAGGGCAGTTTCACTGGACAGCTTTGCGGAGCTGTGCCATTTGAATTTCAGCACAGACATCCACACACTGTGCTCTCCATTTCTGGCGTGTCTCCCAGCGCAGAGTTTAGCTGAGGCTCGGGTTTAGTTTTCCCTCCTCTCTCTCCCTGCAGTGACAGCTTCTCCGGGCTCCGCTAGCCAGGACTCCCAGGCAATCATGGAGGATACTACTTTGCAAATTATCGAACCACCAACTGCCTCTGAGGCCTCTGAGGAGCAAGTGCCTGAAGAACCCATCAAATCAGACCAGATCAATGGTGTGATGGTACTGACCCTTCTGGACAAGATCATTGGAGCAGTGGATCAGATCCAGCTGACCCAAACACAGCTGGAGGAGAGACAGCAAGAGATGGATAGCGCAGTGACCAGCATCCAGGGAGAGTTAACCAAGCTGACAAAGGCACACACCACCACCAGCAACACCGTGAACAAGATGCTGGAAAAAGTGCGGAAGGTGAGCGTCAATGTGAAAACCGTTCGGCAGAACCTGGAAAAGCAAGCTGGGCAGATAAAGAAGCTAGAGGCGAACGAAGCAGAGCTCCTGAAACGCAGAAACTTCAAAGTCATGATCTACCAGGTAAGGAGCTGTTTCACGACTTCTTTATGTCCTCTTAGTGGGTGTTTTGTTTGCCAAGAGTTC